TTAAGAACTCAGGATTAAGATCATTCTATATATGACCATCGGTAGACTCAATTAGAATTTCTATGCTTTAACGGAAATTATTAGAAATTCATATTGTGTCTGTCTCCCTGTTTCACATAATCTCATTATGCGAAATACACTCATTCAATATCTCACCATATTAACAGTGCGGATAGCACCGTTCCTTTCTAAATGGGAATGACATGTAGTAATAATGTTTTAATTAAATATTCTGAACTTTAATTAAATTCATTATGAACAACGTTATTTATTATTATCCTTAAACATTATCCTCTCGTATATAACACTTATATACAATGTTTAAGGTTACATAAATAATCACAGAATTTTCATTTGATATTCATAAAATATTCATAAATATGTGCACATAAAATGATGAATAAACTCTTTTATTAAATAAATAATAAATATCCTATTACATCTCATGCTTCTAAGACACTATTCCCAACACAATTCCCCCACCCTTTTTATTAGAAAAGTGTTTTTTACAATACTTACATACCGCACGAATTTTCATTTCACCTGTTTTTAAATTTGGTCGGGGCTCCTCTGTGAAATGCAGCCATACAAGAGAAGTTCACGGTCTTTTTCCCCTGGTGCGTTCTCCAACTTCCTCTTTGTGCACTGAAGCATTATCAACCGGGGCATTTTCTGGTTCAGTGGGGGTGGGGTTGGAAGGCATCATTTCATCCTCGAAAAATGATTCATCACCAAGCTCGGGAAGAGCAGTGAAATCAGAGAAGTTTGATGCCACCATATTTTGGAAATTGATTGAACTTGAACTTTATAAATGAAAGAGCAAGAAATGAATAATCGCGAGAAAAAAAACTTAGAATCAAAATCAAAGAAACAAGTGAGAGATAGAATGAGAGTGAGATGGGAAGTTGAGAGTAAATTGTTGTGTGGGATTTAGGGTGGAATTAAATGGTATTTATAGGGATTTTTTGGGGTTTTTTCGGATTGTGATCGTTGGGCCATTCGCGGGCCCAATAGTCACAATCAGAATGGGCTGGAGGGCTTTTTTGCGGGCCTGGGCCGGGCCGAACAAGGGCCGAATCCGGGCTTAGGCTAAATTGGGCTTGGGCCGGGCCACGGGCCTTCACGGGCTTGGGCAACGGGCTGAGAAGCCGAGGCCCGGCCCTATCCCGTCAAACATGCCGGGCCGGCACAGCCCGTAATAATACCGTACCGGGCCGTACTGAATTCGACACTGTTACGAGCTGGGCCGGGACATCTATGGACGGCCCGGCCCATTTGACACCACTAGACAATATAAGTGCAAAACAACGTGTCTATGATAAAATTTTATGTGAAAAAAACAAACAAAAACCTAATAGTAATAGATTTGGCAGTTTTTTATTTACCCTACCCAAAAAGAAATCAATGAAATTTCCCAAAAGAAGGATTGAAAATGACACCGCCCGACCAATATGGCCGTAGGCTAAGAAGAAAGAGAACACATCTTTTTAGGAAAAGAAAGGCACTCGAATTGGATTCCCATTTGGGTCAAGATTATTAGGACCTTGTGTTTGATTTGATATCATACTCATCTAATAAATGGGAAAGTACAGCAAAAACATATTTACTTTGTTATAGTTTGTGAAAGAAAATTACATTATTAGACAAGCTTAGGACCACTTCTTTTTCTTTTCCGTTAATTTTTAGATTGGGATTGTGTTCATAGCTGGCAACACAAGAAGTCGAAAAGACCAGTGATGTCCATGGATTTGGGTTATGCTAAGAATGGACCTAGGGACAATTTGGACCTTCTCAGATTAATAAATAAAGAAGGTTGAGACATTGGTCAAATAATTTCGGTGCAGAAACTGATAAAACAAAGAATTATTCGACATTTTTACTAGCAAAGGCACCAATCATGCTTGATGAGTTAACTATAAATAATAAAGCAAGGATTGAGATTAGGTAGAGATTAGTAAAGTGATTGAAGAAAAGGGACCCTTTTCATTTTTTTCTTTTATATATTATCCTATGCATCCTTTCATATTACTGTTTTTGTTTTGCTTGAACAAACAGACGCAGAAAGCAAAAGCAAAAGCAAAATGGTGATGGATGCGAGATTGGGTATTTAATAGGATAATTACAAAATCTTCTCTTTTTTATTTTTTTATTTTTTACAAACAGCTTATTGTTTCTAAAAATTACAATTTAATAACATGGTTTAATATTCTTTGTAAATTAGTGTCTCAAACCATGTCTAAGCAATTAATTGTGCCACGTCATTTAAAAAATTTGAAATACTTTTTAACAAACTTTTCTATGTTTTAATATTTAGATGTATTAAATAATGTATCATAATATGATTAGTTAGACACTAATTGAGCTACTAAAAATTAGACATGTGATTTGAATCCTCCAAATTTAAGAGATTTCCGAACAGATATTAATATCGTGGAAAATATAAGGAAAACTTTAGAAAATTATTCATATTTGCTCTCAAACAGTATTACCTTGTGATTTTTTAGGATGTGATAAACATTTTAATAAATGAATCAATTAAGTATAAACAAATTATTTTGCTTGACAATTTTTATACATATAGATAGAAGTCTCTAAATAGTTAATATTGGCTTCATGATATGTAGTTTCAATAGTACTTGATATAATTGTGAATGGGAATGTGCCACATATAAATTTGTTGATCTCTACATATCGTGTCTCCATGAATGAAAAATTATAAATTATCTCAATTGTTCAGTTGAGATCATTATAGTAGATAAGGATAATTAAAGATTTCATGACAATCCACATCAGCGAAAAAAGAAACTGCCCTTCGAGATTTTTTGTATGGTCTTGTGGTGCATTTGAATCATCATTACCTTAATGACAGATAAAGATTTATAAGTTTTAACATATCTATAAACTAAGAGAATAAGCATTACCATAATGATAATGTAAGTATGATAATGATACGAGTTAAATGAATTTACGTGTAACTATTTTACTCTTATAACAATGACATGTTAAATATTGATATTTCATTATGAAAATAAACATATCATTACCACATATCATTATATGGTTATGCCGTGTTTGCTATGAGAAAAAAAAAAATCACTATAAAAATGAACGTGTTGTACAAAAGAAATTTACTGTTTCAGTCTGACAAATAAATCATTATGAGCGCGAATGAACTAAAGGGTTGAATTATGATATTTTACGAATTCATTAGAAACAAATCAAAGTTATCCGAAATAATTAATTGAAACTCTTTTCATTATATTTACATCTTCATTACGATGATGAAAACAGAATTGTAAAATGTTAGAAACACGAGGCACAAGTGATCAAATCTTGAAAAAGTTCATTACCAGATATATTGAAATATTTAGAATAATGAAGCTATAGAAAATGAGCGAGTAAAATGACAACTTGTTGATAACAACGACATGTCCAACAAAAAATTACCTCTTCATCAGAATAACGACCAAAGAACTATAATAACGTCAATATATGTGTGTGTGTGTGTGTGTGTGTGTAGTAATTTGAAAAACATCGTTATTAATAAAAAGGCGTCATCAACAGAAATTATGTTTATCTAATATTGCAACAATTATCTCAAGAAAGGTTTTTTTGAGACTTTGAATGGGAATCTAATATTGCATAAAACATAATCAAAACTAATGTTTTAGAGATGCAACAATTATGTTTATCTTCAATTGTTTATTAATGAATTTATCCCATTGATAAATCACCTTTCATATGATTGTACACACGTTCACAAGCATTAGAGAAAATTGCTAAACTTATTCTTACAATGTATGAATCTATAATTTTACCTCTTACTCTTAATTAATACCATTTTAATTAATATAATTATCACACTAAAAAACATATTAATCAAAGTAAAGGATAAAAATCTAAATCCATACACTCTAAAGAATATTTGTCTCTTTTTCCTCAAGCATTATTCTCAATGTCATTTACATTTATCGCTAGTAGGGATAAAATGGAAGAAAAATGAGGCAACATGTGATGCAATTCTCAACTTGAACTCGATCGCAAAAAAAAAAAAAAAAAAAAAAAAAAAAAAAAAAAAAAAAAAAAAAAGGTTCAAACAGATGAAATGATGAAATGAGAAAGCTAATGCAAAATAACTTTTAAACGGGAATCACCCAGGAAAATGCACAGCACTAACACTTCATGGAAAACAAAGAGCAAAACTCAAAAATAAACTTACGAAAGTCAATATGTAAATCAGAAACATATTACACAATATTAATTGGAGAGAAAAAAAAAAAAAAAAGTCAACATGTAATATATTATCAGAAAAAATCAGTCATTAAACAAAAAATAACCATATAAAAAAATGCCCACAATAAATAATAAGAACATATTCGACATTACATATTCCTTATTGTTAAGAAGTAGGCCTTTTTATAATATTATATATAAGCAGACATTTTTAGATTCAAAACTTGCACATTTTATGTAATTATTTCTTGATCGTAGCTTAATGCTTATTTGACTATTGAAATTCCTGAGACTACCATAATTAAAACCCATTGCTTAAATTTAAGGTGCAAAAAAGGACAATGTCAACTATGAAGTTGATTTTACTCTATTATTAAAAATAAAAAATAAAAAATAAAAAGAACAACAACAACAGCTATGTTCACCAAGCTGCTGTTTTGAGATCTGTTAATATCGTCTTTTTCAAATCTTAAATCAGACAATCATGTCAAAGTCTAACGTTAAATTTAGAACCTAGGAATGGTGGTGACACACCTGAAAACACGGGATAAAACGTGGCATTTCAATAAAATAAAAAAATACAGTGGAGATATAGATACTCAACCCCTTCTAATTTACACTCGGTGTTTCTCAAACACGTTTCTGCTGCCAGCATATTCAGGCAAAACTCAGAAGAGATTCAATCTAGATCTTCAAAATAAATACAAAAATAAAATCTTGTTTAATCTTAGCCAAAATTAATAAATAAAAACACTCGTTTTATTCTTATAAAATGTTGACGAATGAACAGGTAGGTTATGCTAATGTTGAACAATAATGAAAAGTACACAATATATTGTTGAAAAATGAGTAGGAAGTGAATTTCAATGTCAAGCGTTTGGAAGACAACAAAGGTTTCATTCATCTATGGCTTGATTGTGCGAGTAGGATAATCTGCTGTACAATATACACTGGCCTGTGGGCAACAATGGAAAAATGGTATGCATTCAAGTAAAATTATAACCGTATGGACGAAGATGATTAAGAAGGTCGAAACAAGCTCAAACATCCAAATGTACAGCAGAGTCGAGCCTAACACGATTTAGCCGAACAGTTCCAAGAATGTACTCCGGCAATTCTTCCTCTTCCTTTGCCTGCAATCAGCAAATATTAACATCTTGCTTCAGTTTGCAGGCATCACTGTTAGAGACTCAACCTTAAAAGTATTTGAGTAAGCGATCAACCACACAAGAGCTTGAATATACTCCTAACGTGTTAAAAAGTTCTAGCATCTACCAACTACTATCGACCTAAGCTATAATTCGAGTTTATTATTAACTACAACTAACAACAACTAAAGACTAGAACTTAAACAATATCACCACTTCTGATAATGGATTCACATGTTAACTTTAGGACGCACAATTTATGCTACAGGGAGCCCCAGTTTTACACGTCAATCTCTAACTGGTTGAAAAACCAATAATGACATCACCACAAGTGAAAATTAGCCTTTTTTTTTTCCAGAGAACCTGAATTCCAAGTCAAAGACGAAACACAAGTGAAAATAGAAGTACAGTAAAAACACACAAACCTCTATTAAAATTGCTAGATCAACTACTAGGCTTGTGACATATCCCAGAACAAGGCCAATAACACTCCTTGCCACTGATGATGATCCAATGTCAACATCAATCTGCATAACAGATAACAAGGCCAATAACAATCCAGACATTTAATGCTTAATTTGCCACTTTCATAGTAGATCACCAAAAATGCATGTGAATGTTGTTTCGATAAAGGCAAAGCTAATGATGCATAGTCCTAGTATTGAATAAAAAGAAGGTCCTTACATAAAAGTCCAGCAAGATTTAAGGCCCGTTTGTTTCATGCATTTAAACTCATAGTTTTGATTCCGCTACAATGTTTTTCTCTCACAAAAAATTTGAATTTCAAATACCAGAATCAAGAATCACTTATTTGAACGCATGAATTAAACGGGCCCTTAGGGTTTTAACCAGCAACCAAAGGTCAGAAAACTATAAGACATGACTGTAATCTAAGTGCAAACATGCTGAGACATCACACGCCACCCAAGGCAAACATCAGTATCACACTTGCGACCAAGATGACAAATTAAGTTCATTATTAAGAGTTGAGATTTTTGTATGCTTGAAGCAACCTATTTGTATGGAAGAAAATAAAATATGATGGGCATCCTAGACCTCCATTACGTTTCACCTATGCCAGGAAAAGGCCTAAAGGTGGTCGAACTGATGTGGCAATTAGAGGTGATGTGGAGGCTGGTGAGGGGGAGTCTGTTAGAGGGAAAAGGGGTGCTGATATGGAAGTAGTGCAGGGAGCTGGGGGGCTGGCTGCTGTGGGAAGTGCGTAACGACTCGGATCCCGAGAGGAGCCTCGGAAGAAGAGAGGGCGAGAGGAAAACGGTTAGTTAGAGAATAGAGAATAAAACCAGAGGGAGGGGATCATAGAGGCAGGAATCAACTTCTCTGTAATTGTCATAGACGAGCTTTAGGCTCTAGGGAGTGCAAGGGGTCACTCGAACACCCCCATATCTTCTTGTAATTCCTTCGATAATTGAAGTCTCAATCAATTCAATCCAATTGTTTCCTATCCAATTTCTCACTTTCTGTGTGAATTCTCAAATTCTGAACCTAAGTCTTAACAAAGTGGTATCAGAGCAAGTCTTGGGATGGCACCGGCTAAGAGATTGGACGAGAAAGCGGAAGGAGTTCGCAAAGAAATCCAACGCGATCTGGAGGCGTTCAAGGGAGAACTTCAGGAGACGTTTCGCGAGGATTTACAGAAGATTCCCAAGCTAGAGAGGAATATGGAACTGATGATTTGAAAATTGGAAGAGCTTCTACGACAGCGTGAAGGTTCTACACCGAGCAGAAATATACTTTGCTCTCAACTGAGTTCTAAACCGGAGAAGCTGGAGGTGGCAGTGGTCAGCCTCGAAGGAGAGGCGCTTGCCTGGTTTCAGTGGGAAGACAGCCGACGCGTGATCTGAGAATGGGCGGAGCTACAACGGATTATTCTGGAGCCATTTAGGCCGTCGCAAGAAGGGAGCCTCTATGAGAAGTTCCTAGCTCTCCGGCTAGAATCCACCGTGAGGGAGTACCGCCGGCAATTTGAGATGCTGGTGGCACCGTTGGCGGGAGTTCCCGAGCAAGTCTTGGAAGGGAATTTTATTAAGGGGCTCAAACCAAAGATTCGGGCTGAAATTAGGATGCTAAAACCTACTGGGCTGGGCCGAATTATGGAGTTGGCCTAAAGAGTGGAGGACAGGAACCTCCAGCTCAAGCCCACTAGAGTTCCCATGGCCTAGCCCACTAGAGTTCCCCTGGCCCAAGGACCTCCTCTTCCCTACTGTTGTAGCGACACGAAGTGGATCATTGGCCCAACCACGTTCCACACCAACCACTGAGAAGAATATGAGTGCACCGTCTTCCCCCTTCTGCCATTTGACGGACGCCGAGCTACAAGCGAAGAGAGAAAAAGGCTTGTGTTACTGCTGCGATGGCAAGTACTCGATTGGCCATCGCTGCCCCAACAAGGAATTGCAAGTCCTAATGGTCAGTGGAGAAGAGACCGACGGTGAGAAAACCAGTGAGCAGGGAGCGGAGACGGGAGAGGATGCCCTAGCGGACGAACTAGTGGAATTGTCCCTGAATTCCGTGGTTGGATTGACCACACCTCGGACGATGAAGCTCAAGGGGCTGATTAAAGGGGGGGAACTGGTGATCCTAATCGACAGCGAGGCCAGCCACAATTTCATTTCCATGGAATTGGTGAAGTTAGGATTGGGGCTAGATACCACCGGCGGCTATGGGGTGGTAATGGGCACCGGCCTTACAGTCAAAGGAGAGGGAGTGTGCCGCAGAGTGGCTTTGACCGTCCAAGATGTTGAAATTGTGGAGGATTTCCTTCCATTGGAGCTGGGCAGCGCGGACGTGATTCTTGGCATGCAGTGGCTGGAGACGCTTGGGGCCGTGGCGGTCAACTGGCGGGCTCTTTTGATGAAGTTCAAGATCGGCGAGACCCCAGTTGTATTGCAGGGAGACCCCAGCCTCTATAAGTCTCCAGTATCCCTAAAAAACATAATGCGGGCATTGAAGCAGGAAGGACATGGGTTCTGGGTGGAATTGGGAATGTTTTCGGTTGAACAACAGCCAAGGGACGTGGCGGAGGAACCAATCCCAGCCGCCCTGCAAGCGGTGCTACAGCGGCATGCCGCTATTTTTGAAATGCCGTCTGGCCTTCCCCCACCGTGACTGCAGGACCATTCCATCCCACTGAAGGCAGGGACCTCCCCAATAAACGTCCGACCTTACCGTTGCCCGCAGGCGCAGAAGAGCGAGATTGAAAAGTTGGTGGCAGAAATGCTCACTGCGGGAATCATTCAACCGAGCGTTAGCCCGTTTTCCAGCCCGGTTCTCCTTGTCAAGAAGGACGGGAGTTGGTTTTGCGTCGACTATCGAGCCCTAAATCGAGAGACCGTGCCAGATCACTTTTCTATACTGGTGATAGATGAGCTCCTCGACGAACTACATGGTGCTACCATTTTCTCGAAGATCGATTTAAAGTCGGTCTACCACCAAATTCGGGTGTGCAGTGACAATGTGCCGAAGACAGCTTTTCGCACCCACGATGGGCACTACGAATTTGGGTCATGCCCTTTGGGCTCACTAATGCTCCTGCTACTTTCCAGTCTCTTATGAACGAGGTATTTCGGCCCTTTCTCCAGAAATTCATTTTGGTATTCTTTGATGATATCTTGGTGTATAGCCGGTCATTGGATGAGCACGTCGAGCATTTAGAGGTAGTGATGACTAAGCTCGCGAAGCACAGCCTGTACGTGAATGCAAAGAAATGCTGCTTCGAGCAATCCACCTTGGAGTACTTGAGCCATATCATTTCAAAGGAGGGAATGGCAGCGGATCAAACCAAGATCGCTACCATGGTCAATTGGCCGGCACCTACCAACTTACGGGAACTAAGGGGATTTTTGGGCTTAACAGGCTACTATCGGAAGTTCCTCAAGGGGTGTGGTTCCATCGCTTGGCCATTAACAAACTTGCTAACGAAAGACAGCTTCTGCTGGTCAGCAGAAGCCATAAATGCCTTCCACAAACTCAAGGCGGCCATGACAACAGTGCCCGTGCTGGCCTTGCCGGACTTCTCGTGTGAATTTGTGGTGGAGGCAGATGCATCGGGTGTAGGGATTGGGGCGGTGTTGATGCAGGACCAGCGACCGATTGCTTACTTTAGCCAAGCTCTTTCCAATTTAGCTCGCCTTAAGTCAATCTACGAGCGAGAGCTTATGGCCATTGTGATGGCGGTGCAAAAGTGGCGGCCATACCTTATCGTGAGGCACTTCATTATCCGCACGGACCAACGAAGTTTGAAGTTCCTGCAGGACCAACGGGTTGTCAGTGAACACCACCAGCGCTGGCTGTCCAAACTCCTAGGCTTTGACTTTGAGATTCAATATCGCCCCGGATTGGAGAATAAGACCGCGGACGTGCTTTCGTGCCTCCCCACTTCTGCAGAACTCCAGCTTTTGACAACGGTCTTTGAGCTCGATTCGGACGAGCTCAATCGGCACAATGCCTTAGGTTTTTTTTCGGAAGAGCTCCATCGGCACAATGCCTTAGGTGAAAAGCTCTCACACATAATTGCGGACCTTCAGGCTGATTCGGGAGCTCATCCGGGGATCTCCTTACAGCAAGGGCGCCTCATGAAGGAGGGGCGAGTAGTAGTCTCATGAGACTCTCGTTTGGTGGCTGACCTGTTACAAACGTACCATGATGGGGTGGCAAGGGGACACTCGGGCTTGCTCAAGACTTACCGACGCTTGGCTGCCGATTGGTATTGGTTCGGTATGAAGAAGGACGTAGAGGCTTATGTCGTGAAGTGCACGATCTGCCAGCATAACAAATACGATACCTTGGCCCCCAGTGGATTGTTACAGCCCCTGCCCCTGCCGGACAAAGTATGGGAAGATCTCTCGATGGATTTCATTGAAGGGTTGCCCAAGTTGGAGGGTTACAATACCATTCTCGTCGTTGTCGACCGCCTTAGTAAGTACACCCACTTCATTCCGCTCAAGCACCCATTCACCGTGACGGTGGTGGCGGACGAGTTTCTTCGCAGAGTGGTCCGACTACACGGTATTCCTCGCACTATTGTGTCCCATCGCGACAGGATTTTTATGAGCAAGTTTTGGACGGAGTTGTTCAAACACCAAGGTTCCACCTTGGCTCGGAGCACAACCTATCACCCTCAAACGGATCGACAAACCGAAGTGGTGAATCGGTGCCTTGAGACCTACCTCTGGTGTTTCTCATCGGATACGCCCCGTCAATGGTCAAAGTGGCTGCCTTGGGCTGAGTATTGGTACAATACTTCCTTCCACACCGCCACACAAATGACCCCTTTCTGCGCACTCTACGGCCGTGACCTTCCCCCATTAGTGCATTATGGTATAGGACTCTCCTTGTGGCCACTGTCGACCAGCAACTAGCGGATCGTGATGCCACTCTGGACCTTCTAAAGCAGCAACTGCTGCGGGCTCAACAGAAGATGAAGGCTCAAGCAGATGGCTCTCGCCAAAATGTTTCCTTTGAAGTGGGGGACTTCGTGTACCTCAAGCTTCGTCCCTACCGGCAGAAATCACTAGTGCAACGTCGCAATGAGAAGCTTGCGCCTCGCTTCTACGGCCTGTTTGAAGTGCTCACCAAAGTAGGCCAAGTCACATATCGCTTGAAACTCCCAGAGTCTGCTGCCCTACATCCCGTTTTTCACGTCTCGCAGCTGCGTCGCACCTTGGGCTCTGCCATTCCGAATGCTACTCTGCCACCTCAGCTTACTCCGGATATGGAACTCCAGGTTAAACCGGCTGCGCTAAGGGGAGTCCGCCAAGCTTCACGTGGTTCTACTTCAGAATTAGAGGTCCTCATACATTGGGATACATTGCCAAACCACGAAGACAGTTGGGAAAACTTCGACCGCATACAAGCAGCATTTCCAGACTTCCACCTTGTGGCCAAGGTGCATCTTTGGGCCGGGGGTATTCATGGGCACCCTAGACCTCCATTACGTTTCACCTATGCCAGGAAGAGGCCTAAAGGTGGTCGAACTGATGTGGCAGTTAGAGGTGATGTGGAGGCTGGTGAGGTGGAATCTGTTAGAGGGAAAAGGGGTGCTGATATGGAAGTAGTGCAAGGAGCTGGGGGGCTGGCTGCTGTGGGAAGTTCCCACATAACGACTCGGATCCCGAGAGGAGCCTCGGAAGAAGAGAGGGGGGAGAGGGAAACGGTTAGTTAGAGAATAGAGAATAAAACCAGAGGGAGGGGATCATAGAGGCAGGAATCAACTTCTCTATAATTGTCAGCTTTAGGCTCTAGGGAATGCAAGGGGTCACTCGAACACCCCCATATCTTCCTGTAATTCCTTCGATAATTGAAGTCTTAGAGTCCGTTTGGTACCTAGATTCGTTCCCTAATTCAAATCATGGTTCGTGGTTCTCTACAGTATTTTCTCTCACAAAAATTACACGTAAATCGAAAATGATTCTAATCACATGATTTGAATCGATGAACCAAACGCCACATTAATCAATTCAATCCAATTGTTTCCTTTCCAATTTCTCACTTGCTGTGTGAATTCTCAAATTCTGAACCTAAGTCTTAACAAATCCCTAAATAAAAAACAAATAAGTTCTATCTTACAAGTTAATATAATTATTACATGTAAAGACAGAAAAATAAATGATTTCTTTTTGAGTTTGTCTAAAGCAGCTACTGAACTTGTCAAAATAGGAATGTCCTAAAAGTATTGCAGCAAAAAAAAAAAAAAAAAAAAGGTTAGAAAAAAAACAACCACAAAGAAAACAAAAAGGAATATCCTAAAATGACTAGACAGTCATGCATAGATGAATATGATTTGAGCCAGAGTTGGAAGAAGATTTAAGAGAGAGTAGGTGAATCATCTTAAAACCAATCATGTCCGTCCAGTCTAAGTGACCTTTTTTCTGCAGACAACTAAGTCTAGTTCACATGATTCATATTGGAAATCACATGCCTCCAGAAAAAATTACAGCCAAAACAACTTAGTCTAGTTTTCATGATTCGTATTGGAAATGACATACCTCTAGAAAATTATCTTGTCTGAAGTATTTGCAAGTGACGGCTTTTCCCAGCAAGCAAGCTTTCGTTCCAACAGCACGCTTCACCATCCAATATCCCTTCACCATTCACTTAAACAGTATAAACTACATGCGGCTGAGAGAGAAACATATCAATGCCACAAGGACTCAACAGAACCTCTGAATCTTATACACATAATAGGCTACTACCTCTACAATACTTGGAATGAGTTTGAATCTGGCATCTCGGAACATGTCACTGCCATCCACGAATTTAGCTAACAAGGAATTCTTGTTGGGAGGCCTTTCAGCAGCATAGTAAAGTACCAAACTGTAGTTAGGTTTTGCTGGGACCTGAAATAAGAACCAGACCATATTTACCATGTCCATCATGCTTTGCTAAAAGGAATCATATCACCAAAGAAATCTTCAAAAACAAAGTGGCTACAGGTTGAATATTATGCAGTGCCATTCATAAGCAAAAGATTCGGTGAAACCAGAAAATAAAAAGTCAGTTATATGTTCACTCCCACATTTTGCACACAAGAAAGAAATCTTGTAATTCAACATAGGTACAGGCTAAATATTTATCGATGACATTCATAGGCAACATAGGTATAGGCTAAATATTTCTGATTGCTACTCATAGGCCAATATAGACAAAACATCTAGCTACATGAACGCTTATTCAATCGACCTTAAAACCTACTTATACGGAGCAGATATTATCAGGCTGATCATATGACTTCAAATTTTGTTGGCAAGATTTTTTTTTTTCTTCCCTGCTCTATTCATCTTCTTCAGAAGACTTTGGCCCAATGATGAGGAGAATAGTATACCAGTGCAACCATGAAAACTGTGAAAGTCGCTGTCGTATCCCTTTTATTTTTATATGAGAAACAATAATTTTACTAAAAGTCTATAACCAGGAAGGAGTAAGAATATATCGCCTGAAAATAGTGTATGTAAAAACATAGGATCAAGGCATTTGCACACACACCTGGAGATTGATGACAAGAATGAATGGAAGCTTCTTCCCAGCTTCTGACTGGAATTGAAAAGGATATTGTTAAAAAGTTTAATTGAAAATCAAGCCACATAATATGAAAAGGATACTGTTATAAGAGAAACTAACATCAGTTTCAAGAAATCAAATTAAGAAAAAAATATTCCCGATCCATTAAATTAAGCTGTAGTCCAAACTTCATAGAATAAATTGAGATAAGACTATTTACTTTTGTCCATGTCAAAGCTAAGATGGAAAATATGTGGAGTACCAAAATTTAAGTTTTACATGTATTACCTGAAAATAAGTTAAAACTATAAATGAAATAAGAAAATCTACCTGAACAAGACACTTGGGATGCAGTGCAATCTGATTTACACTTCTATCAACTGTGAACCAATCAACAGCTAAGAGCTTAAGTAGGGGATCTCCTCCCATTACCTGAAAAATGTTCATATATATATATATATATATATATGTATGTATGTATGTTAGCATCCACGGAACTAATGCATATGAATCACCAATGTGGTACCATGAACTCTTATACATAGTATGTACAGTTAATCGATATTAAAGAGGATAGGAAAAGGTGAAACAACAACTTCCCAATAAATCAAACTAGTCAGCCTAATAATAAGAAGATGACTGGAGAAGTCCACCTTGGAGTTGTCTTTTAGGTAATTCTTTCCTCTGATCATAAATCCCAATCCACTTGGAGAAGTCCAACAGTTTGTATCAGTGTTATCCTTTTCTTTGCTCAAAGAGCCATCTAATTGGCTTGGGTCAATTGTGGTAGGGAGCACATTTGGGTCCAATTCCTTATTTGCAGGAGCTGAAAAGAAAGAAGAAGAAGTAAGGTTAATATTTAGAACTTGTTTTTTCTTTTCTAAACTTTAATTTACTTTTTCTTTCGAGCATTGTGTAACACAGAGTTGAAAGACTATAAATGATATACGTTAATTTTTTTAACATATAAAGATACCAATTATACTTCTAAGTGTAGGATGTAGCAATTCACAATCCAATGATGAAGATCCCTGATTTTCACAGCCACTTTTTTTTTAATAAGAAATATTGAACTTCGTAATATCAAAGAACAGTACAAATACACAGACGGCAAGGATCCTAAAACAAAAACACTACAAAAATCAGAACCACAAAAAAGGCATAGACCCAAAAAAACATGTCTCAAAATAACCTATACTGCAATTCACTTCTATATTTCATACAATATGTGGGAAAATAGGAGAAGAAAAATATTTCTTATTTTCTGAATAATCTTACAGCTGGCCCTCTTAGGGTTTTATACACAAAAATAGAATCTCCTAGATTACACCTTATCCCATTATTCATGGGATATCAGGAAACTAACTGATTACCCTAATCCTAGGGATACAAAATATAAAATTCAAACTTTCCTAATATATCCTATTTACAAAATCAATAAGATTGCGTTTTTCACACTCCCCCTCAAGTTGGTGAATAGGTGTTCACCATTCCCAGCTTGGACACAAGATTTTGAAACACTGGACTACTAAGTCCTTTCGTGAGTACATCAGCAAGTTGACCCTGTGTAGATACATAGGGTGTACAAATCAGGCCACTGTCTAGCTTCTCTTTGATGAAGTGTCTGTCGATTTCAATGTGCTTTGTTCTATCGTGTTGTGCTAGGTTGTGAGCTAGATTGATTGTAGATTTGTTGTCACGGTAGAGTCTCATTGGGCCATCCCACTTAATCTTCAAGTCTTCTAAAATAATCTTCAACCATAGCAATTCACACACACCCTGAGCCATCGCTCGGAATTCGGCCTCTACACTAGAACGAGCTACAACATTTTGTTTCTTGCTCCTCCACGTCACAAGGTTTCCACCAATAAAAGTGCAATAACCAGAAGTTGAACGTCTATCTACCACTGACCCAGCATAGTCTGCATCGGTATACGCTTCAAGCACCACTCCTCCATTCCTTTTGAACCAAATACCTCTGCATGGTGTCCCTTTGAGATAATGCAATACTCGGTATGCTGCATGTAGATGTGCCTCCCTCGGATTATCCATGAATTGACTAATCACACTTACCGTGTATGCTATATTTGGCCTAGTATGAGATAGGTAGATAAGTCTCCCCACCAAGCGTTGATACATCTCTCTATCCACTGCGACATCCTCTTCTGCTTCTCCGAGCTTCAAATTTGGATCTATTGGAGTGCTCGCTGGCTTGCACGTGGTCTTCCCGGTTTCTTTGAGAAGATCTGTAACATATTGCTGTGAGATGAAAATACCTTGCTTGGAATGAGCCATCTTGATTCCCAGAAAATATTTCAACCTCCCTAGCATCTTAATCTCAAACTCTTTAGCTAAACATCGACTGAGACGCTGCCTTTCCTCATCATCATCTCCCGTCACAATTATGTCGTCAACATATACTAAGAGGACTGTAACTCTCCCTGAGGATGAGTGTTTGACAGTCAAGGTATGGTCTCCTTGACTTTGCTGATATCCCATAGCTGTCATTACCTTTGCAAATCTTCCAAACCATGCTCGTGGCGATTGCTTAAATCCGTACAAGGCCTTCTTCAATCTACATACTGTGTGCAGCTAAGTTATGACCATAACCTGGTGGAACCTCCATGTAGATTTTCTCCTAGTTCTCCATGCAAAAACGCATTCTTGCTAATGATAACAAAACTCTTACCGTATTCGTTGAAGCCACCGGAGCGAATGTCTCTTGGTAATCAATCCCATATACCCGTTAGCAACCAACCTCGCATTGTATCTTTCTATTGAACCATCTGCCCTATATTTCACGGTGTAAACCCATTTACATCCCATTGGTTTCTTCCCTTCAGGCAATTTCACAAGCTCCTAAGTTTTGTTCTTCTCCAATGCTTCCATCTCCATATTCATAGACTGTCTCCATTTTTCATTAGTTAAAGCCTCAGACAAATTGATAGGGATGGCAATAGTATTTAGGCTGACAAGGCTTGATGGGATGGTGAGAATTTTTCGAAGGAAAGAAATTGTGCAAGTGAGTATAGAGGTCGACTTACACATTCTCTAACTCCTTTTCTAATAGCAATGAGAAGATCCTGATCATCATTATTCATGTAGGTTTCAGAAAAATGATTAGAAATTGTTACCTCATTTCCAGAGCTTGGGTTGGAGTCTTGAACTTGCACAGATTCTAGGATAGCATTCTTCCTTCTTGACACTTTGCCTTTGCCAAATCTTACATTCTCAAGGGCAGAATTTGGGTTGTCAAGCTCGGGTTCAATAGAGTGAGGCTCGGGTTCAATGGAGTGAGGCTCGGGAACAGGAGAGTGAGGCTGGGGAAACTCGGGTTTTGATGGATGAAGATTAAGAGATGTCCTTATCTTCCACTACTGAATTCTCCCCCTGAAGATAAGGATCATTGAAATAGGATTTGTCTTCATGGAAAGTAACATCAGCCGAGACATAGAACCTTTTTGAGGGAGGATGGTAACACTTGTATCCTTTCTGAGTAGAAGAATAGCCCACAAAAACACATTTGACTACCCTTGGATCTAATTTCGCTCTATTTGGAGTATGGATATGGACAAATGCCACACACCCGAATATCCTAGGAACCAAATTATTCGTAGTGCGTAGATTTGGATAGAATGAGGAAAGTACGTCCATTGGACTTTTAAAACCCAAAATCCTAGAGGACAAACGATTTATAAGATGCACAGATGTAAGAACTGCTTCCCCCCAAAGTGATTTAGGCACATTTTTCTGGAACATAAAGGATCGGGTGGAATCGAGAAGATGATCATTTTTCCTTTCTGCCACTCCATTTTGCTGTGGAGTATTGACACATGATGATTCATGGATTATTCCTTCCTTTTGGAAATATGGAGTGAGGACTTGATTGAAATAGTCCCTAGCATTGTCTGATCTGAATCTCTTGATATTGACCCCAAATTAGGTCTTTACCATAGAACAAAAATTTGGAAGGATATTACTGACATCGGATTTATGTTTAAGCAAAAATATCCAAGTGACTCAAGTACAATCATCAATTGTTGAATATTCAAAAGTCAAAGTTAGGAAACTTATTTTAGGAAAGTATTTTAGGAATAAAGGAGACATCAGTTGTGATCCTCTCTCATGATTCTGTTTCCTGATTTTTAGGAAAGAATTAAGTTAGTTAGTTATTTCCTTTGTTAGACGTTTTGTATATATATTTGGATGTATTACCGATTTTATTCAATGAAAGAATTCTGAAATTCTTCATGGTATCAAAGCCAGGTTCTCTGGACCCCTAATCCCTTCAGGCCACCTCTCTCTCTTCAGGCCGCCTCTCTCTCTCTGGCCGTCATTGGCCATCATTCTCTCTAGTCGATCCTCTCTGGCCAATCCTCTTTGGCCATCTCTGTTCTGTTCTCAGGCCGATTCTCTCCGGCCTTCCCTTCTCCGTTTTTCAGGTCGTCTTTCTCTGGCCAATTCTCTCTGGTCAGTGTTCGTCCAGGCCTGCTTCTTATCTGTTTCCAGCAACGTTATTCGCTCCTCTCCCTTATCTTCTCCTTCGCGATATTTGGAGCATGACAAAATACAGAATGGCCACATCACAAACGTCCAGCATCATGGCACCCGAATCAGGAGGCAGTTCTGAAATTCCAAACCTTGGTGGCAGTGAGTCTTCTCATGTTCTCATCACAGGACACAAATTAAATGGCCATAATTATTTGCAGTGGTCACAATCTGTGTTTCTGTTCATTTGTGGAAAAGGAAAGGATGAGCATCTCACAGGAGCAGCAGCCATGCCAGAGACTACAGATCCAAGTTTCAGAAAGTGGATGATTGAAAAGTATGATCATGTCATGGCTTATCAATTCCATGAACAATGACAGGTGAAAATTTCTTGCTGTTTGGGACTACAAAAGAAATTTGGGATGCAGCCAAAGAGACTTACTCCAGCTCTGAAAATACTTCAGAGCTGTTTCAGGTTGAATCCACACTTCATGATTTCCGCCAAGGAGAGCAGTCTGTTACCCAGTATTACAATACACTCACACAGTATTAGTAGCAACTGGACTTATTTGAGACTCACTTATGGAAATGTCCAGAAGATGCAGCAACGTACAAGCAGATTGTGGAACAAAAAAGGCTGTTCAAGTTTTTCTCAGGACTTAATAGGGAGTTGGATGAGGTTCGAGGTCGAATTATGGGCACTAAACCACTGCCCAGTCTCAGGGAGGCTTTCTCAGAGGTTAGGCGTGAAGAAAGTAGAAAGAAAGTGATGATGGGGTCTAAGGAACAACCTGCCTCAACATTGGATGCATCAGCCCTTGTTGATTATGGGCACTAAACCACTGCCCAGTCTCAGGGAGGCTTTCTCAGAGGTTAGGCGTGAAGAAAGTAGAAAGAAAGTGATGATGGGGTCTAAGGAACAACCTGCCTCAACATTGGATGCATCAGCCCTTGCTGTCCGATCATTCAACAGTAGTGGTGGAGATCGTCAGAAACGGGAAAGGCCTTGGTGTGATTACTGTGAAACCAGGCCATCACAAGGAGACTTGCTGGAAGCTCCATGGCAAACCAGCTGATTGGAAACCAAAGCCACGGTTTGACAAAGACAGCAAAGCACATGTGGCTTCCCACTCTGACTTTGCACCTGTTCCCGAGCCTAGCCCATTCAGTAAAGAGCAGATGGATGTACTGCAGAAACTGTTGAGTCAAGTGGGCAGTGGTAGCACTACTGGGCTGGATTGGTTGCACAAACGGATTCACCTACAGCCTTCACTGCTAACAGAGGAGGAATGAGGCCATGGATAGTCGACACGGGTGCCTCTGATCACATGACAGGGG